CATATTTATATTTATTTATGTATTTATTTTTATGTGGTGCTGAGGATTGAACCCAGCACCTTGTACATGCTAGGCAAGCGCTCTACTGCTGAGCCACAACCCCAGCTAACTTTTTTTTAATAAGATTTTTTAGTTGTAGTTAGACACAATACCTTTATTTTATTTATTTATTTTTATGTGGTACAGAGTATTGAACCCAGAGCCTTGAATGTGCTAGGCGAGTGCTCTAATCCTGATCCACAACACCAGCCCCTCTGTTTAACTTTTTAAGGAATCGTCACACTGTTTTGCATAGTGGCTGAATGATTTTTCATTCCCATCAAGAATGTGTCACAGGGTTTTGAGTTCTTCCCATCTTCACCAACACTTGTTATTTATGTGACTTTCTGATATAGTGGGCATAGAATGATATTTCACTGTTATTTATTTATTTTTTTGGTGTTTTGTTTTCTGAGTCCTGGGGATTGAAACTAGGGCTGCTTTACTACTGAGTTACATTTCCTAGCCCTTTTTATTTTTATTCTGAGACAAGGCCTTGCTAAATTAGGCCTTGCTTAATTGGCCTTAAACTTTGAATCCTCCTTCCCCAACCTCCTGAATCACTGGGATTCCAGGCCACTGTGCCTGGCTCATTGTTTTGATTTACATTTCCCTGATGACTATTTGTCTTGAACATCTTTTCATGTGCTTATTTTTGTATTTGTATATCTCCCCTGAAAATAGGTCTATTAAGATGCTTTTCCTGCTGGGCACCATGGGGCACACCTGTAATCCCAGCAGCTTGGCTCTGAAGACTGAGGCAGGAAGATTAGGAGTTCAAAGCTGGCCTCAGCCATTTAGCAAGGCTCTAAGCAACTTAGTGAGACTCTGTCTCTATTTTTTTCATTTTTATTTTTTGGTAGCAGGAATTGAACCTGGAGTGTTTAACCATTGAGCCACGTCCCAAGCCCTTTTTATATTTTATTTAGAGACATGGTCTTGCCAAGTGGCCTAGGGCCTTGATAAGTTGCTGAGGCTGGCTTTGAACTTGCCATCCTCCTTCCTTAAGCCTCCTAAAGTGCTGTGATTACAGGTGTGTGCCACCACACCCTGCTTATCTCTAAATAAAATATTAAAAATGCCTGGGGATGGTGTGTGGCTCAGTGGTTAATTAATAGCCCCTGGGTTCAATGCTTGGTACCAAAAAGGAAAAAACAATGTGTGTGTGTGTAAAACATATATAAGATACATGTAAAAATATATTTTACACACACACACACACACACACACTTTTTCTGCTGGGTGTGGTGCTGTAAGTTTGTAATCCTAGAGGCTCAGGAAGCTGAGGCATTTAAGGAGACCCTGTCTCAAAAATAAAAATTTAAAAAAAAAACAGCAAATAAACAACAACAACAAAAAAAAACTGCTGGGGATGTGGCTTAGGGGTAGGTTGCCTTGGGCTCAATCCCTGGTACAAAACAAATTTTTTTTCTATTTTTAACAGAGTGGTTTGTCTTTTATTGTTGGGTTGTAACGATTCTTCCTTTTTTTTTTTTAGATACAAGTCCGTTATCAAATCTATAATTTGCTTAGGAGTTACACTAATTCTTTACTTGAGTATTTCCAGGTCATAACAGGTAGTGTTAATTCAAATTGTAGACCTACATAGGGCTGGCTGGTGGTTACAGAGTTTTGAAAGTAGTTTTATTTTATTTTCACCCAGTCCCAGGATCAAGACAGGAAAGTTTATTTGTTGTTATTGTCCACACAGTGGAATTTGTTTTTATTCTACAACCATATATTAGTGTATAACTTTTGTGGGTTCCAATTTTCTGATAGATCCCACTTTTATCTCCTGTAACATACCCCTTCCTGCCACACACATTTTGTAGCTATTAAACCCAGAAGTTCAAGGTTTCTAAGGTTTGGCAGAAAATCTTGATGAAAGAGCTCATTCAATATTTAGTATTCCCATATTTTATCTTTGTCTTTAGGAGCTGCAAATTCTTTGCTTTCATGTCAGCTCAGAAATATGCTTATACACTGAATACGATTTAAAAAAAATTGCTAAGTTATCAAGAAAGCAATTACCGTCATTGAGAGTATCTAATATACAATATTTCTATGAATAATAATCAGATCATTGGCATTAAGAAGGTTAATAAACTGTGAGGCTAATGTGATTTGCTGACCCAGAGCCTCTTGTATACTAGAAGTACTCTACCACTGAGCTATATAACCCCAGCCTTAAGATTGTGCCTTTTATAACTCAATTCATGGCATATAGTATGTAAAGTTCATGAGAACAGAACTTTTTGTCTGTTTATTCAATAGTTAATAAATATTTCATGAGTGAATAGAACTGTTTATAAATGTCAAATGAAATGCAATCTCTTTGAGTACTTTTCCTTATACTAACTAGAGTATTTCTTTTTCACTTTGGCAAGAGGGAAGGGAGCCAACTTATTTTTCTTCTATCTTTTTTTTTTTAAATTTTTTTCTTTTTAGTTGTAGATGAACACAATACCTTTATTTTATTTGTTTTTGTTTTTATTTTTATGTGGTGCCAGAGATTGAACCCAGTGCCTCATGCATGCTAGGCAAGTGCTCTACCACTGAGCCACAACCCTGATCCATTCTTCTATCTTTTTAAGAAAAATATTTAATAAATTATACTGTAATGCAAAAAATTGATGATCAGCTTGGTTAATTTTCACTAACTGAATGCTTTTGTGTAAATATTACCAAGATCAAGAAACAGGAGAAACAGGCCTAAACTTTTAAAAGTAATATTTTAGAAAAGTCATTTTCATATAATTTGGTGTGAGTCTTACTCTGTAGTGACTCAGATGTGGTAGTTAAATATTTGCCAGCAAGGTGACTGTAAAATATTAGCTGCACATGAATTTTTCCTTTGAAGACATGATTAATGTCAGATTTTTTATAGTGCTGGAGCCCATGGCCAGTGATTGCATGACACTCATGAATAGTGTTGCTAATGGTTCATATCCTAGGGGTGTGAGGTAATGAATTTTTTACTGAACTCTAAATCCATGCTTAAAAGTATGTCTAAATTCTTCATCAATTTCTACCCACAGAAAAGGCAACATGGAATATGCTGAACTTTAAAGTTTAGAGTCATGTTATTGCTTTCTCTAGTTCCATTCAATAATTCACTTTTGACTTTTCCTATCATGTAGAGCAAGTGTTGGCAAACGTTTTTCTTAAAGGACCAGGTACTAAATGTTTTAGGCTTGCAGATGATACTATATGTCACAACTACTCAGCTCTGCTGGTGTAGTGTGAAAGCAGCTATAGACAGTACATAAAAGATTGGGAGTGGCTGTGTTCCAGCAAAACTTTATTTACAAAAACAGGTAGACTACAGGCTGGGGTTGTGGCTCAGTGGTAGAGCGCTTACCTAGCATGTGTGAGGCACTGAGTCCAACTCTCAGCACTGTGTAAAAATAAACAAACAACCTGGTGCAGTGGCACACGCCTATAATCCCAGCTGCTTGGAAGGCTGAGACAGGAGAATTGTGAGTTCAAAGCAAGCCTCAGCAATAGCAAGGCACTGAACAACTCAGTGAGACTGTTTCTCTAAATAAAATACAAAATAGGGCTGGGGATGTGGCTCATCAGTGGAGTGCCCCTGAGTTCAGTCCCTGGTACCCCCCCCCCCAAATAAATAAATAAACAAACAATATAAAGGCATCATGTCCATCTACAACTAAAAAATAAATAAAGAAATAAAAAATAAAACAAAAAAAAAACCCTAGGTAGACAGAGTTTGCTGACCCCAATCTAGAATACGACCTCAACAGATGGATGCTCAATAGACTATCATAGGGGAATTGACCATTCAGTAACTTAATTAACAAATTACTGAGTGGGTGCTACTTGCCAAACTGAGGACTAGGCTGTTAATTAAATTATAGTATACCTGGGCTGGGCTGGAGTTCTAGTTCAGTGATACAGTTTTTACTCTGTATGTGCAAGGATGTAGGTTTGAACCACAGCACACCCCCCCCCCCAAAAAAAAAAAAAAAAAGGTATGTCTACTCACTGGAACTCGAGACATTGAAAATGATAATTTTTAAGACTTTTTTTATATGTGAGAAAATGCTTTTAGGTGGGAAATCAAGATAAAAAATTTATATCTTAATAAATATGGACTGATACTTAAAGAAACATATAAAGTTTTGTTAGGTAGGAAGACGATGGACAATTCTTTTCTGCTTTTCAAATTGTCCTTAGGATTTTTGCATTCCAAAAATAACTAAAAGTGACCTAATGAGATTCCAGTTAAAACTTGTTTTCATTGCTGTTATATATAGATTGAACATACCTAATCTGAAATCCAAAATATTCCAAAAGTCTAAAGCTTTTTGATCATGGACATGATGCCAAAAGTAGAGAAATCCATGCCTGATCTCATGTGACAGGTTGTATTAAAACACAGGCACACTAAATATATTGTATAAAATTACTTTCAAGCTGGGTATAGTGGTTAATGTTTGTAATCCCAGCAGTTTGAGAGGCTGAAGCCGGAAGATTGTAAGTTTGAAGCCAACCTTAATAATTTTAGCGAGACTCTGAGCAATTAGCAAGACCCTGTCTCAAAATAAAATAAATAAATTAAAAGAGCTGGGGCTATATAGCTCATTGGTAAAGTGCCCCTAGGTTAAATCCCTAGTATATAAAAACCTTCAAAGTATGTGTATAAGGTATATATGGAACAATTTTGTATTTAGACTTGGGTACCATTCCCAAGATATTTTATTGCATATATGTGAATATTCCAAAATCTGAAGAAGAAAGAAATCCTAATCATTTCTGATTTCAAGCATTTTAGATAAGGGATGCTCATTTTATAGAATGAACAAGAAGTTTTGAAAAACTATTGTTCAGTGAAGTTCTGAAGCCTTTTACCTAATCAATATAAAATTGACACTTGACAGTATGTTGCTGCTTTTTTCAAGATGTATTGTCAGTTCTTTTATTTTTTTCTATTTTAACAGTGCCCTTATGTCTGCCATTTGTTATATTTACTTACCAAAAAAGAAAATGGTGAGTATTTTCATTCTAGTTTCATTACATTCGCTGTATGGAATTAGCATTTGTTTTGGCATTTATAAAATTAAAATAACTGTTACTATTGGTTATATGACAGGATTCATTTGGCAGAAATTGCTTTGTAGTACTTTTATCTAAGATCATCTGCTTAATGGCTTTACTGAACTGGGTGTTTATATTTTTGATGTGTTTTAACATGAAATTATATGAACTAATAGTGGTTAGGCATAATCTTTTTCTTCTTTTTTTGAACCAAATGCATAAAACTTCTTTTCTTTACCTTTTCTAGTCAAACCATTTCGTGTGAGAAAGCTGCTTGATCTTCAAGCTAAAATCGTGAGTACTAAAAAAACCTGAGGCTAGCCAGTTTATACTATGAGCCTCATACTGAAGTAGGCTTTGGAGATACAAAATCAAACGTCATTATCTTAAAAGAACTTATTTTCTAGGGAGCTCAGTCAACCAAAAAAAAAAAAAAATCACAGTTAGGGCTGGGGGTATAGCTTAGTAGTAGAATGCTTGCCTAGCATGCATGAAGCCCTAGGTTTGATTTCCCAACATCACAATAAACAAAAAAAATAAATAAAGCAAGCAAGAAGCAGAATCAGACTGGGATCAAGGAGGAGAGGTGATGGTTGAATGAAATTTAATGGGATGAATAGGATTTAAATAGGCAAAGAATGGAGAGAAGGATACTTTTGCTAGAGGGAATAAAGATAAAGATATGTAGATGTCAAACAACAAAATATACTTTTAGGGAAGTGGGTTGTTAGGGCTAGAATACTAAGTATTAGGGAGTAGCCAAAGTGAATTTATAATTTTGTGGATATTTCTAGAAAACCATTTCAAGACATTTTCTACTAGATACTTAAAATGTAATATATTTTCTAACCATTATCTCTTGTCCTTATAGCTCTGTTGCATTGTTATTTCCACTATACCTGTCCAGTAACAGAGATCTCTGAAGCTTTGGAGTAATGTTCATACCTAATTGAAGTTGTTATGGCCTATCTAAAGGCATTCACATTGAGTGAAAAATACACAGAATACACCTATGTTTCTCCAATATGAGGTTTCCTTTTAGTACATACAGTTCAATGATTGATCTTGTTTTATAGCCTCCTGTTTTGGTTCCATGAGTACAATATCTTCTCTTAGTTCTCTGAGGCTATTAATGATAATATTTTTATCCAAGTTGAATTTTATTTCACATTGGTAGAAATTATAAAAAAATGTATATTTTCCCATGCTACAGCAAAATATTTCAATGGAATAAGAAAATTCTTACCATAGTATAAGTTCTTGTTGATTTGTATAACTGAAACACAGTGTATATTCAAGGTAAAAAATGATTTAGTAGCTGGGCATGGTGGTACATGTCTGTAATCCCAGTGGCTCAGGAGCCTGAGACAGGAAGATCATGAGGTCAAAGCCAGCCTCAGTGGCCTGGGGTTGTGGCTCAGTGGTAGAGTACTTGCCTAGTATGTGTGAGGCACTGGGTTTGATTCTCAGCACCACATGTAAATAAATGAATAAAATAAAGGTCCATCAATATCTAAAAAAAAAAAAAAGCCAGCCTGTTATGATGAGAGCACTAAGCAACTTAGTGAGACCATGTCTCTAAATAAAATACAAACTAGGGTTGGGGATGTGGCTCAGTGGTCAAATGCCCCTGAGTTCAATCCTCAGTTACTGCCCTCCCCCCCTCCCCCCCAATAAAAGATTTAGTAGATGATTGTCTAAAAATTTTGAACCCAGATATTAAATGTATGGTTTCATTATTAACATTTAATCTAGTACACTGCTAAATTATTTCCATTATTGATTAATACCCATTTATGAAGATGTATTTATAACATTGTTTTAATTTTTTATTAACTTGGGCAAGTCCAAATATCAAATTGAGAAGACATATATATTCTCATGTGTAACCTACCCTGCTTGTAATAGTAACAGGTTACATGAGCAAATAGTTTCATGAATTTCTGATATCAGCCAAGACTTGTATCCTGTCTATTCCCATCCATGCCCCATATATCCCAATATATGAAAGGAAACAAAAACAGTAATTGCCTTTCTGATGATAGGCATTAATGGTGGGAAGTAGAGCAGGCAAGTTATTCTCCCACATATACTGGGCTGTGTTGAAAGTGATCTTTGGAATAAGAAGGGGTATTAGATTTCATCGTAAGGGTTGATGAGCGTAGTTTCTGGGATTTTCCCTCAACCAAGGCATGATTCTTTGTGTATGCACTTTGGGCTGTGCTTTTTTTCCCCTCTGTTTCCAGTTTTCTTTCTTTTTCCCCCCTTTTAAGATCAGGGACACTACCACTAGGTGATGTCCTCCGTGCTTTTTAATTTTATTTTGAGATAGGGTCTCACTAAGATGTTGAAGCTGTCTTCAAACCGTGATCTTCCTGCCTCAGCTTCCCAAGCAGTTGGAATTACAGGTGTGCACCACTGTATCTGATGTCAGCTCTGTTTCTGTTTCCTTGTAGTTCTTTTTTTTAAATTGTTTTTTAGTTATAGTTGGACACAAATATCTTTATTTATTTTTATGTGGTGCTGAGGATTGAACCCAGGTCCTCGCACATGCTAGGCGAGCACTCTACCACTGTGCCACAACCCCAGCCCTCCTCATAGTTCTTATTTGGTCTGTCTGTCTTCATAGTGGGTTTTTCTCAAATACTTGGTAAAGCTTATTTGTTTATATTTAATAGTAGCACTAAAATGGTAATTGAAAACTTCTGTGCATGAGCAGGACTTTGTAACATCTTGATGTCTCATGGGGGAGCCTCCCTGATGATTGTGCCAATTTTCCCAGAGAGATATTATCCTGTTTCCTGCTTGGGGGTTCTAGGGTTCTCCAGAGAAAGAGAACCAATAGGGTGTGTGTGGGGTGGGGGTGGGGGGTGTGTTTGGGTGTGGGTGTGTTGTAAGGAATTGACTCCTATGGTTATGGAGGATGGCATGTCCAAAATCAGTAGGATATGGTAGGCTAGCAGGCTGAAGACTCAGGAGAGCAGGTATTTGCAGTGAGTTTGAAGACAGTCGGCTATAGAACTCAGAAGAGTTGATGGTTCAAAAGAAATCTGAAAGTAGTCTGCTGGAAAAGTTTCTGTGTCTCAGGGAGATTGGTCTTCTTGTTCTATTCAGGCCTTCAACTGATCATTACAAGATCCATATACATTATAGAGGACAATCTGCTTTAAAGTTTTCCTAGTTAAATGTTATATTCATTCAGAACACCCTCAGAAACGCCCCAGAATACCTGGGCATCTCATGAACCAGCCAAATTGATACATAAAATTAACCATCATAGGGGTATAAACCTGGCTGTTGGCACTTGGGACCTAAGCAGTAGGAAGGAGCAAAGAGTGATTGGTCTTGGTATTCTCCCTTAGATGTGCTGGAATATAAGTCCTGCTTCATCTTCAGGGAGTGAAACACTAATGTTTTACTGGGATGGTGAAGGAATTTGGATTCTAACTTCTGCTTCTTTTTTTTTTTTGGTACCCGGGATTGAACTCAGGGGCACTCAACCACTGAGTCACATCCCCAGCCCTTTTTGTATTTTATTTAGAGACAGGGTCTCATTGAGTTGCTTAGTGCCTTGCCATTGCCGAGGCTGTCTTTGAATTCACAGTCCTCCTGTCTCAGCCTCCTGAGCCTCTGGGATTACAGGTGTGTGCCACTGTGCCCAGACTAACTGCTTCTTTTGTAGGCTTTCAAGTGATCCTATTTTCTGTCCTCTTGAAACTCCACTTTTCAGAGGTATCTAGTCCTTCAAAACCTTGAGCCTTTCTGGAAGTTCACAAATATTAATCAGCTTCCTTTGAGGCTTTTTGTGTTGGTGCTTTAATTTTATACTATCTGTTCTGCTAACTTTTTACTATTTGCCCATCTTTATTTTAGGTTCCAAAATCTTGTTCAGGTCTCTCCTGTACTGTTGCCTCTTCTCTTGTTCTCCTTGAACTTGTGCTTTATGCCTTTTTCATTCCTTTACTGTGTTCTTAATGGCGCTTTGGCAGGACCTTAGGGTTAATCACATATTTCAGTATGCCATATTGAATTGAAAGTCTCCTACTTTTTAAATGTTAACTTTTTAAAATATATATGTGTGTATGTATGTATATATGTATATATATATATATACATATATTTGTGTGTGTGTGTATATATATATACATATATGTGTGTATATACACACACACACACACACACACAAATATATATTTGTAGTTGGACACAATACCTCTATTTATTTATTTATTTTTATGTGGTACTAAGGATTGAACCCAGGGCCTTGCTTGTGCTAGGTGAGTGCTCTACCACTGAGCTACATCCACAGCCCCTTAAATGTTAACTTTTCAATAAACAAATATAAGTTTAATTAAAAGATCTCTGCATTTCTGGGTGTGGTGGTGCATGCCTGTAATCCTAGTGGCTCGGGAGGCTGAGCAGGAGGATCACAAGTTCAAAGCGAGACTCAACAACTTAGGCCCTAAGCAATTCAGTGAGACCCTGTCTCTAAATAAAAATTTAAAAGGGGAGGTGGTGCTGGGGATGTGATTAAGTGCCCCTGGGTTCAATCCCTAGTATCAAGAAAAAAAAAAAGGAAAGAAATTTAATAGACAGTATTTTAGAGGTTGGATAAAGGGAGGTTGGATTTGACCAGTGCAAGCTGTACGCATATATGGAAATATCACACTGAACTCAATTAATTTGTGTTAAATAAAAAATAAAAGATTTTTTAAAAGCAAATTTTAGCCAGGCATGGTGGTGCACACCACTAATCCCAGTTACTCAAGAGGCTAAAGGTAGCAGGATTGCAAATTTGAGACCCTCCTGGGCAACTTAGTGAAAACCTGTCTCAAAATAAAAAATAAAAAGGCCTGGTAGAGTACCCTTGGGTTCAATCCACAGTACCACACACACAAACACAAAAGACTTTAAATAAACTTAATTTTACGAAGCTTTTATAAAATAGGAATTATTGTATGCCTCATGACATTTTTGTCAACAATAGGCTGTACATACAATGGTATGTATCATATAGCCTGTATGTAGTAGACTGTACCATTTAGGTTTGTGTAAGTACATTCTGTGATGTTCCAATGACAAAATCACCTAACAATGCACTTCTCATAATATACCTCCATCATTAAGTGACACACTTCCGTGCTGTATTTCTAATGCCTATTTGCTGCCTTTGTACAGTATTAAAAGTCAGTGTGTTTGTTAAGACTTTTTTTTTTTTTTTGTAACATCAAGTTGCTTGACACTTGCAAACCGATTTTGAGATTTTTCTAGTTAGTTTTCCAGGATTTATGATAATCAGGCATTATATTAATATTTCTTCTGTTTCCTTGGCTTCCCTTTTAGAACCCATCTCCTTGATGTCTGAATCATAGATGAGTAAACTAAGTCTTGAATATGTTACCAGTGAGAATAAGCCATGTTATACTAGCAAGTGTGACAGGCAAGACTAAGATATGGGTAGGGAAGAAGATAAAATAGGAAGAAAAGAGAAAAATAACAAGGAAGAAGTAGAACAGGCAGAAAGGTCATAAAATAGAAGTTCTCAGGTTGGAGAAGTTTGTTTTATGATGGTTGATTCAAATATGTGGTTACTTATTCCTTTATTTTCTGTAGCATCTTTCTATAGTTATATCATAGTAAAATTGGAATCTGAATATCTGTTTAATCTCATTTTATTATTAATTTTTCTTCTTCTTGGTATTTGTTTCCTCAATTTCTTACTGGCCACAAAATGGAAAATTCTTATTTTATTTCAGGGAATGCAACCTCATCTCCAAGCTTTGTTGTCACTATATAAGTTCTTTGTTCCTACTTTGATTTCTGTATCTCTGCCTGTAAGGAAGAAGGTAAGGGATTATGGAGAAATAAGTCATATGGAAGTTGAAATATATTATTTTTAGAAGTTTACATATTTGGACTAAAATATTTATTGCTTACTGTTTAGATATCTAGTGTTATAGTACTATTAGGGGAAAGTTTTATTAGGGATTGGTATTTTGTGTTGTTCCATTTGGTGCATTTACTAGATTCTTGATTAGGAAAACACATTAAATGGATTTGTGTGGGAACAAAATCATAATTAATATGCTTTCAGTTAATGAAGAATTTTGTAGTTTATGTTTCTCCAACTTACCAGTACCCATTTCATTGTACTTTACACCCAAAATTATAGATCTATTTTAAGAATTCAGAGAATATGTGGAATTCAGCTCTACTTGCTATGAGGCTAAGAAATCAGCAACCTTTTCCAGAACCTCTAAAACTGGTGTTGGGTTCAGCTAATGTCCGTCCTCTAAAAAGAGTAAGTATCTGTACTCCAAATGACTTGTGTGCCTTTCTTTTATAAAATCCAAATAATAACCAATCAGACATTGGAGGAGATTATACAGATTTAAATTTAAATCCATTTTATTTATGCAGGATAGTATGGAAACTACATTCAGACTCCTTTAATTAAAACACCTTAACAACTGATTTTATACTTGTAATTTATAGTCTGTTTAGTCCATTGATAGATTGTTCTATTATCTTTTTCCTTTAGAAATTGAATTCTCACTCAGTTATACCTGCGCTAAATTCTGGTAGCTATACTAAAGAATGTGGAAAAAAAGAGATGAGTCTTTCTGATTGTCTCAGTCACAATAGATCCTTTCCACTAGAACAGCTTCAAAACTTCCCTCAACTCTTACAAAACATTCATTGCTTAGAGGTATGTTTATCTGCATTTTCTATTTGACTTTCATGGCTTTTATTTTTGTTGTGTATTCCCTATATGATGATTTCCTTGTTGCCCTGACCCACTTTTTATATACTAACTGCTGACGAGTTGTTTTATCTTTATAGCTGCCTTCTCAGATAGGCTCAGTGCTGAACAACTCTCTGCTACTTCACTATATTAACTGTGTCAGAGATGAGTCGATTTTATTGAGGCTCTATCACTGGTTGAGTCAAACATTACAAGAAGGTAAGAATTAACACTTAAAAACATTGAATAAATAAGAACAGAACAAGATAGTTTTCAAGTGAGTGTCTTTTATAAGGGTGCCAAATTCTAGACAAGAAGAGACTTCACAGGCTGTAATCGTTTCTCTGGTAATCATATATTCAAACCATAAATACTTCTGTTGTAATTTCAAGTCAATAAGAAAGTAGGGGTGTTGTTAAAGAAATCCTACTGGATGGCTACCAGAACTCGATGGTTGCCTCTACTTTGATGACCATCACAATCCAAGGCCTCCTTTTCCTTGCATACCCAGAAACTTGCCATCAGTTAGAGTATTAGGTTAATAAAACTAACAAATCAGAGGACACTAATGTATAAGCTAGAATGTCAAATTATTATTTTACAATAGAAAAGATTCTTTCTGATAACCACAATGTTCATATCTGACAACTAGAATATCCCTTTTTTGCCACCAGCATATATGGAAGACAGGTTTGTCATTAGAAGATTTCTTAATTATAGGATTAAAGGAAAGGGCAGTGAGAAGTCTTTCATCTAGGACATAGTAGAACCTGATCATTTCATTCCTCCAAAAGGAAATATTTTTCTAGAGATAGTCTTTCTGTTTACCAGAATGACTGTGTTTCTTTACAGGATAAGCAACTTCTGACTCTTCAAGTATTTAAAGTCAGTTTTAGTCAGTTCCAGGCTAATTCTTCTACTCAGAGGCTTTCTTTAGAAAGGACATGATGTAATATATTAGATGTCCAAATAGTTAATTGTTACCACATGTAAATTATATCCAGTGAACCCTAATTTAAGCTTAGTGTATTCTCAAACTTTTAATCTGTACATTAGTAGTTTCTTGGATTACTATGTGACATAAAGCTAATCACATTCATTATATATGGATTTTTACTGTTTTTTTTTTTTCATTATAAGCCTTCCCCTAAGCAACCATGTTTTTGAGGAGCATTTTATTATCACCTCCACATTCCTGTTACAATCTATAGTGTGAGTTGTCTAGAATGTGAGACAACTTTTTAAATGTGTCATTTATTTGTCACTTCAGAGTAGTGATAATTATATTTTGTATGGTTTTTATTATGCAACCATATGCTTATGTTCACTATTTGTGATCTAGAATGTATTTGGTATAAGGTGAATAATTATGAACACGGAAAAGACTTTACCAACTTCCTGGACACTATCATCAGGGCACAGTGCTTCCTACAGGTAAGATTCCACTTGTTTTCTGCACACTCCACCACTCTTTACTAAAATTTATTTAGATGTCCGTCAAAAACTTTTCCTTAATACCTGACATCTTTTGTAAGCAACATTTGCTCAATATGAAATTCACTGTAAATAGAGCTGAGGTGGACTGATGTTTATCTTTGCTCTGTTGGATTTGAAGAAAGAATGTTACATTATTCAAATAAAAGGGAAAGGCTATCTATGATTCAAGAGAAAAACTGAAGATATCATTGAATGCATACAACTAATTGAATTAGCTGATAAAGTGAATCGCATAGGGTCACTACTTGTGTTCTTGATAGCAGTAAACATTTTTTGAGTATCAAATATGTTACAGAAAATGGTCTATTTAGCTTGGGTAACTCTGAGTTGTATTTTAAGCTGTGTTATAGATATCATTGCCATCCCAAAGCCTTCATGCATCACCCAAGTCTGGATTAGCTACTTGTTTTACATGCCCCATTTCTCCCTATTCTTACCTGTGTCATGGCATTTTTAGTATCCATTTTCCCACATATTATGAGCTTCCAGAAGGCAATAACCATGTCTAACTTTTTTTAATGTTCTACTTGGTACCTAATTTGAAAGAGATGCTCAATGTTTGTTCAGTAAATCTTAGGGTATGAAACCATTTAGTTTGAAATTGGGTATGAACTATGGTAGGATAAAAGGAGCAATCTAGGTTGAGTTTTGGTTTTCCTGCTGGGAAGGATGGATGGTCTTTATTGAGAAAAGGAATATAGGATGAGCAGGCTCAGAAGAAAAGATGAGTTTGATTTAAGAGATGCCTTGGGATATCTAAGAGGTCATATCCAATAGGCAGTTAGATTAAGTCAAGAGCTCAGAAATGAGATTAGGGCTAAAGATAAAAATTTAGGACTCCTCATGATAAAGGTGGCATTTTGGCTTTCATATGGATGAGATTCCCCAGAGATTTCATGTCATGAAAATAAGGTTTGTGATAGAGTCCTGGTGAATGCCAGTACTTAAGCCTCAAATGAAAAAAGGGAAACACTGGGTCTTTATTTTGGTGGAAATGTAAGCATCCTAGACTCTTGGGCTTTTCCAAATGGGGCTACTCAGAGTTTTGGATTTGGTCTATGGCCCCTAATGAAATTCTAACCCTATTATATAACATTGTACACATTTTATTGACTATTCAAGTTATATTGTATATACTCAAATAATAAATTTCATTTATCCTTAAAAATATTATATTATTTGGGACTGGAATAGTAGCTCAGTGGTAGAGTGCTTGCCTAGCATGTGTAAAGCACTGGGTTCGATTATTAGCACTGCAAATAAAAAGTAAACGAATAAAATAAAAGTCCATCAATATCTTTTTTTTTGGTGGTGGTGGTGCTGGGGATTGAACCCAGGACCTTGTTCATGCAAGGCAAGCACTCTACCAAATGAGCTATATCCCCAACCCAAAAGTCCATCAATACCTAAAAATAAATTTAAATATTCCATTATTTGACTTTTTACCTTTCTAATTTATAACATTTTATAGTGCTTGAAAACTATTGATAAAGATGGTAATGTATCTAAATACTAATCACCTCATCCTTTTTATTAGCACTTATGGTGCCTAAGACTTTTATATTATATATATATATTTTTTTTAAAATTTATTTTAATTTTTTTTTGTGTGTGTGGTCCTAGGGGTTGAACTCATGGCCTTATGCATGCAAGGCAAGGGCTCTACCAACTGTAGTATCCCAAGTCCGACCTTTATTATATTGATGACAAAAAAATTTGTCTTAAAGTGAAACAACCATAGCACAAAACAAAAATAAGCTGGTTTCCTAGAGAGTAATTATGACTAAGAGTTCCATGTAAGGTTTGTTATTGACTTGTATTTTAGGAGGGGTTTTATTCCTGTGAAGCATTCCTCTATAAGAGCCTTCCTCTCTGGGATGGCCTCTGTTGTCGGTCACAGTTCCTTCAGCTTGTGAGCTGGATTCCTTTTAGTAGTTTTTCAGGTACGTATCATGAAAACTTGGAGTCATTATTCAATGTAATATGAATTTAAAGGATCTTTAATATACTTTTTTTTTTAATTCCTAGAGGTGAAGCCACTTCTTTTTGACCATCTAGCACAGCTCTTCTTTACATCAACCATTTATTTCAAGGTAAAAAAAAATGTCCTGCTTAATCTCAGTAAGAGGTATTGTTTATTACCAGTGGTACACAATTCCAAATTGATATTATAGCACTGATTTTTTTTTTGAACTTTGAAGTATTAAATTACTCAATTCAAAGTTAGCAGAATTTTCTGCTTTTAATGTTTTGTTTTATATAGTTTTCCTGGATTGTTTCCATTTGTAGCAAATGACAAAGTGAATGAATGTGGCAAATGTGTACTATTATTATTATCATCATCATCATTATCATCATCTTCATCATCATTAGAACTGGGGATTAAACCTAGGGCCTCACACATGCTAGGCAAGTGCTCTACCACTGAGCCATATTCTTATCCTGCAAATGTGTATTAATAAAAACAAACTGGGAAGTACTCAACTGTACTTAGATTGATTGTTGTGGTTTGTGTTTTTGTAGATAATGCTTAATTCATTTCACAAATATTCATTGAGCATCCACTGAAACCGAATTTTTTAGATGAAACTTGAATCCTTCTGCTGGTGGCTGGGGTCTGTGTAAGGTTGCAGGCCTCTGCAGCAGAAAAGTATTGCAGCTGTTAATGGTGGGTCATGCTCTCCAATGTTTCAGCAGACCCCAGCAGCTCACCATTAGTTTCTTCTTTCTGGGTTAGCAGCCAGGAAGCCATGTTACCACTATATACTAGGCACTCTTCTTAACACTGGGAATATGTAAACAGCATATAGTGACCAAAGCAAACAGACTCCTTGGGACATTCATATTATGTATTTATAATTTAGTCATTTTCTGCTAATAAAATTCTTCAAATCTTATTTGATAAAATTAAATATGTTACTATTTTGGGGGTGGTCTCCAAAAAGACCACTGTGACTTTCAAGAGCTCTACCTGGATGAGTTGAGGCACTTTCTTAAAGAATGGTTATTTCACTTCCAAAAAAGTGATAACGTAAGTAGTGTTTCTTTTACAACTTATTTTCATTTAAATCACTTAATGTTATAGGAAAAATATGTCTTCTGATTAGCATTTGTCATAAATGAATCATACATTATTTCTTAAAATTTGATGTTTTTTTTAATTAGAGTTTTATGGTTATACATAATAGATGGATTCATCCTGACAAACTCATACATGCATAGAAATCAATTTTGGTTCATGACCCTCCCAATTTTCCCTCCTGTCCTCCGTCCCCTCTCATTCTCCTTACTCTACTCTAGTAGACTTCTTTTCTCTCATCTGTTATTTCGTATCATTTTATCCTTCCCTCCCCTTTTCTTTTATTTTACTCTAGCTTCTGCATATGAGATAAAACATTTGACCTTTAAGTTTCTAAGTTTGGCTTATTTCACTTAGCATGACATTATACTCCATTTTCATCCATTTACCATCCATTTTCAAAATAGATTCTGATAATTCTCTGGATTTCAGAGGGTTCTGCAGTGATAGGTCCATTTTCATCTCTGATCCTATTATTTGCTTCTTACTCTGTCTTTTGGTTAGTTTGGCTAAAGGCTTGTCAATTTTATTTTTTCAAAGAACTAACTCTGTTACATTGATCATTTGTATTATTCTCAATTTCATTGATTTTTGGCTCTGATCCTAATTATTTCTTGTCTTCTGGTTTGGGGGTTAGTTTGTTCTTTTTCTTTTTTTTTAATATTTATTTTTTAGTTGTAGTTGAACAGAATACCTTTATTTTATTTATTTATTTTTCTGTGGTGCTGAGGATCGAACCCAGGGTCTTCCACGTGCTAGGCAAGCGGTCTACCACTGAGCCACAATCTCAGCCCCATTTGTTCTTCTAAGACCTTAAGGTGGAGCATAAGCTTATTTACTTGGACGCTTGCAAATTTTTTAATGTAGACACTCAGTAGTGTCTATGAATTCTCTTAGGACAGTTTTCATGCTGTCCCAGAGATTTTGGTATGTTTTACCTTTGTGTTCGTCTCTAAGAATTTCTTGATTTCTAGTCTCATTTCTTAGATCCGTTCTTCATTTAAGAAAATTTTGTTTAATCTCCATGTGTTTGTATAGTTTCTATTATTTGTCTTGCTGTTGATTTCTAGCTTCATTCCATTATGATGTGATAGGATACATGGGATTAGATCAATTTTTTATATTTGCTAAGATTTGCTTTGTGGCCTAGAGTATGATAAATATATTTTGGTAAATGTCCCATGTATAGCTGAAAAAAGGGTAAATTAAGCAGTTTTGGGGTGGAATATTCTGAAGATGTCTATTAGGTCCATTTGAATTATAGTGTTTAGGTTGGAAGTATCTTTATTGATTTTTTTTTTTTTTGTTTTGATGTCTTTTGGTGATAAGAGTGTATAGAAATTCCCCAGTATTATTGTGTTGGGGTCTATGTGGAATTTAATGTCATGGAATATTTTTTCATGTAATTGGGTTTGTTGACATTTGAGGTATAAATGTTTACTATGGTTATATCTTCTTATTGGATTTCCCTTTACTAGGACATAGTGGCCTTTGTCTCTTCTGATTAAATTTTTGCTTGAAATCTGCTTTGTTTGATATGAGAATAGCTACTACTCCTTGATTTGTTGGACCAGATGCCTGGAATAGTTTTTCTACTCGCTTTTTACCTTCTTCAGCACGTCAATGTCTTTAGCTATGAGTCTCTTGTAAACAGCATATAGTCGGATCTTGTTTTGTGATCCATTCTGTTAATCTGTGTCTTTTAATTGGAGAGTTGAGACCATTAACATTCAGCATTAGTATGCATATGTTTGTGTTTTTCTCCATTTATTTTTTTGCTATATTTTATCCTGTCTTGATTCTCATTTACTGAATTATTCTTCTATTGAACGTCTTTTGTGGACTTTGGGAATTATTTTTTAGTTCCTCTGTATAAATTTATCTTTGAGTATTCTTTTAATGCTGATATGGTCCTCATGAATTTTTAAAATTTATTCTTGTTGAAGAAAGTTATTTCCTCCTTGAATTTAAAATTGACTTTTACTGGGTGTAGTAATTTTGGCTGACAGTTTTTTTTTTTTTTTAATTTGTTCTAATTAGTTATACATGGTAGCAGAATGCACTTCAACTCATTGTACACAAATGGAGCACAAATTCTCATTTCTCTGGCTGTACACAATGCAGAGTCACACTGTTTGTGCAATCATACATGTACATAGGGTAATAATGTTCATCTCATTCTACCACCTTTTACACCCCACATCCCCTCCCTTCTCTCCCTCCCCTCTGCCCAATCCAAAGTTCCTCCAGCCTTCCCTAGCCACCCCCCCCCCATTATGGATCAGTGTCTGCATATCAGAGAAAACATTTGGCCTTTGGTTTTTTGGGATTGGCTTATTTTGCCTAGCATGATATTCTCCAGCTCCATCCATTTACCTGGAAATGCCATAATTTCATTCTTCTTTAAGTCTGAGTAATATTTCATTGTCTATATATGACATTTTTTATCCATTCATCTGTTGAAGAGCATCTAGGTTGGTTCCATAGTTTAGCTATTGTGAATTGACCTGTTATTGTGAATTATGCTGATTTTTAAGTCCTTTGGATATAGACCAAGGGGTGGGATAGCTGGGTCAAATGGTGGTTCCATTCCAAGTGTTCTAAGGAATCTTCATACTGCTTTCCAGATTGGTTGCATCAATTTGCAGTCCCACCAGCAATGTTCGAGTCTACCTTTTCCCCCATATCCTTGCAAACACTTGATGCTTGTATTCTTGATAATTACCATTCTGACTAGAGTGAGAGGAAATCTTAGAGTAGCTTTGATTTGCATTTCTCTAATTGCTAGATGCTGCAGTCTGACTGGGCACAATTCACCAGCCACTTGTCAAGCAGAAACGAACTTTATTTTTAGAACACACACACCGCACCACAGGAGCTCTTCAGGAATTTCTCAGAGCCCAACTGCCACCACTGGCTTCTGGCAAGCCTCTCAACCCCCACTCCTCCCGCTCTTGAGGCCAATTGGCTGGGTCGTGTGGGCGGAGCCAAAAGAGTCCCCCAATGAGCAGCTCCATGGTCTGAAAGGGCGGGAAACAGCCCAATGAGCATCACCACAGAGGAGCCAATCAGCTGGCAGCTGGAAGTTTGCTAGGGCCACAGTGAGCCAATCAGCTGGAAGTTTGCTGGGGCCGCTTTGGCTGTGGCTCTCAACATCTAGAGATGTTGAACATTTTTTCATATATTTGTTAATTGATTGTCTATCTTCTGTGAAGTGTCCAATTCCTTAGCCCATTTATTGATTGTTTTTTTTTTTTTTTGTTTTGGTGTTAAATTTTTCAAATTCTTTATCCTGGAGATACATGCTTTATCTAATGTGCATGTGGTAAAGACATGTCTCTGGTTGTTCACGAGTCACACCAAGTACATGTCTTCATACAAGTACTTAGGGTAATGATGTCCATTTCATTACATCATCTTTCCTACCCCCATGTCCCCTCCCTTCCCCTCTCTCCTCTTTGCCCTATCTAAAGTTCCTCCATTCCTCCTATGCTCCCCACCCATCCCCATTATGGGTCAGCATCCACATATCAGGGAAAACATTTGGCCTTTGTTATTTTGGGATTGGCTAACTTCACTTAGCAAAATATTTTCCAACTCCATCCATTTACCTGCAAATGCCATGATTTTATTCTCTTTTAATGCTGAGTAATATATCATTGTGTATATATACCACATTTTCTTTATCCATTCATCTACTGAAGGGCATCTATGTTGGTTCCACAATTTAGCTATTGAGAATTGTGCTGCTATAAACATTGATGTGGCTGCATCACTGTAGTATGCTGTTTTTAAGTCCTTTGGGTGTAAATGAGGAGTGGGATAGCTGGGTCAAATGGTGGTTCCATTCCCATTTTTCCAAGGAATCTCCATACTGCTTTCCATATTGGCTGTACCAATTTGCAGTCCCACCAGCAATATATGAGTGTACCTTTTTCCCCACATCCTTGCAAACACTTCTTGTTGTTTGTATTCTTGATGAGTGCCATTCTGACTGGTATGAGATGAAATCTT